TGATCTATCCCTAGCGGCCCTAGCGGTCCTAGCTAAAAAGGGACATACAGCGCGGACATTGACACGAGCGCGAAATCTCCGCCTCGAGCTGAGCGCTGGCCATGGCTTGGAGCATTTGTTGTGATAAGTCATGGCGCCTTCTTCGTGCTAAACTTCGCAACACATGCGTAGACAAATCGGGGCGCTTGTGCCTGAGCAACAATATGCTTGCCTGGCCCGAACATCTTCACCAAAAAGTGACACGCACACACAAGCCTGAAAACAACGCACCACCATCAACCGACATTCTCATCTTGCGCTGCGTTCGAGCAGCAGGTCCGCCACGCGTGGCTCCAACAATTGGCGGACATCTTCCTGGTCTACCTGACGTTCAAGGAAGGATTAACGTGAATAACATGCAACATGCCACCGGTTCGCCAACGAATGACTCACACATGTTTTTCTATCAGAGTTGCTGGTGGCTTCAATTCCAACAATGCTTGTATCAGCCCAGTTGGAGGCGGGATGAACTCCATGTAGCTCTTTCAGCACCATTCCATCAGGCAATAGTGTGCCCCGCTACTTTCCCAGGTTGTGACTACAAAAATTTGGTCTGCCCTCGCAGGAAACCAAATCTACAGGTCACGTTCCGCTTCTGCAAGATATCGCATTGAGGGGTACTATAACTGGGTTTTGTCTGTTCTGGCAGTCTAGCAGTGTAGCAGTGCCAATGCTTGGTCTGCCAAATTTTCCTCAGCACATCTGTCCTCTAAAAGAAAGCTCCTCTCACCAAGGGATTTTGATCTACAGGAATCGAAATTACAGTAGTCATATATACTTGCGGAACCGCAAGCTTCAGCTTAAGGCAGCATGCTGCAGTAAAACGAAAATTCAACAAAGCTTGGGCTGCATTTTGGCAGACTTGGCTGCTGCAGCCAGACCTGTCCAGCATCAAGCTTCAAGCTTCTCCTAGAAGTGAAGAGCGGTGAGACTTGCCAGCCGGTGCATGGCGGCCGATCTTGCTGAGCTTAAAACTCTCAAGGCTTGTTCCCAAAGACCGCCCGTGGTGCATGCCTCAGAAGATTCATGGCGATTTTGTCTTGGAACACAACAAACTCAGCTGAAGTGGACGTCATGACAATGCAAAGTGGGCATCGAGGTCAACTAAAAGAAAAGCCGGTACTTGACATCCACAGTTGCACTGACCGCAGCGGTGCAAGTGATATCATTGACTTTGCCCTCCTTGTGCCAAAGATCCAGGAAGCCCAAGACCCAACTCCTTAGATGGCCCCTGGCAAGTCAGCTGGACAACTTCTGATAACACACCTGCTGCAATCTAGATTTCAATCGCCTATGCCTGCTGTAGACATTCCAATCCCAAATGAGCGACGCTGTTTCTTTGTTATGTGTGGGCCTTGCACATTTCAATTTGGTGAGTGTATTATCGTTTTCCACGTTTTGAACCTCACTCATGTTACAGGTTGTTTTCACAATGCGGCAGACTTTTTGGACATGGAAGCAGACGTGCGACGGTCAAAACTACTTCTGTGTGGTAAGGTCATGGGTATCGCCTTCAATGGTGGCATCGCTACACACAGCACTAGCATTGTGTTTGACTTGTCGCCTTTTGGTGGGGGCAGTAGTAGCAGTAGCAGTAGCACTAGCACTAGCAATAACAATAGTAGCCGTCGTAGGATTACAAGTAGAAGTAGTAGTAGTAGTAGTAGTAGTTGTTGTTGTTGCAGTTGTAGTTGTAGTTGTAGTAGTCGTCGTCGTAGTAGTAGTAGTAGTGGTGGTGGTGGTAGTGGTGGTAGTAGTAGTAGTGGTGGTGGTAGTGGTACTGGTAGTGGTACTGGTAGTGGTAGTGCTAGTAGTACTAGTGGCAGTAGTAGTGGTAGTAGTCGTAGCAGTAGTAGTGGTACTTGTAGTACTAGTAGTAGCAGCAGTAGTGGTAGTGGCAGTAGGAGCAGTAGCAGTGCAGTGGCAGTCGCAGTGGCGGCGGCAGCAGCACGAGGAGGAGGAGCAGTACTAGCAGTAGTAGTCGTCGTCGTCGTGGTTGTGGTAGTGGTTGTGGTGGTGGTAGTGGTGGTAGTAGTAGTAGTAGTAGCAGTAGTAGTGTAGTAGTGGCAGTAGTAGTAGAAGATGCAGTAGTAGTAGTAGTAGCAGCAGCAGCAGCAGTAGTAGTAGTAGACCAGCCATGTCTTGAGCTTGTTTGGAAGATGAGTTTCAGATACAAGCGGGGCACTGGTTTCGTAGCATAGGTTCGTCTACATTTACGTTATTGTTTGGTTATCGTTTAGGTTACCGTTTGACTACAGCTACATTTCGGACAAACCTGTCGCCAAAGTCCGAGGTCAAAAACGGCTTTGGGAAAGGCTACACTAAGCAGAAACGAGGTTCCCTGATGGTCTCGAAACATGATGCTATCAATATGTTATCGTTTTTTTGATGAGTGTATTATCGTTTTCCAAGCAAAATGCAAATTATGCAATCCCAATGTCGGATCCTTTACTAAATAGCTTTCCGTAAATAAATCAGGTTGCTCAAATGATGGCACCTAGTAGGAGTTCAGAAAAAATGTGTTGCATCGGCCCTTGCTGCTTGCCCGTTCACTTTCAACACCCACATTCCATTCAACTGAATGGCGCTCAGCCTCCACCGTTCGCCCTTGTCACAGGCACTGATGGCTGAACTGCAGGTCACAGCAGTGGGGGTCAATTCAATGAACATCATGAGACGAACCAATTGGAGCGCCGCCCGCCAGTAGCCAGAGGTTTCACATGCACTGATGGCAGAGTTAAAGCTTATGACCTGGGCAGAGCCATGGTGCCCAGCAGGCCATGTTGACAGTCCATGACAGCCCCTTCCCTGTACCATGTTGACACTCCCTTTTCTGCAGCTGAGATGCACTTGGCCTGAGATCGTCAAATGGCAGCCGTTTCAGCACAAGCAGCGCTCGCTGCCATTCACGGCCCTTTTCGCACGCACTCACAGCTGAGTTGAAGCTGATGACCTCGGTCATGGCAGCCTACTGTGTGCTGAGAGGGGTTTGCTGATCCCTGTGAGAATGGGTGTCGCCTGGCCCGCCGGCCCGTTTTGCACCCGGCGATTGAACCCACTAGACCATACCGGCCCTTAGCTAGGTAAATTCCGCCTTTCAACTCCTCTCAACGTGCTTGCAATGCGCTTGGGTTGGCGCTGCACGTGCTGCAGACTGTGAACTCGAAACCCTGCCCTGTGAAAACGCAGTAGTATCCTTACTACCCGGCACTGAGGCATTTATATATAGCAACGCGGGACGCAGCATGGTGCGTTTGCGTGGTATTGAATCCTCGCAAATGTAGTTGCAACGCACCGTGCTATTTTCGGTGATCCGTCAGCCTGGTCACAACCCGCATCACTAGTGCCAGCTTTCCCATGCATGCAGCAGAACGTGAGAACCTTGTGATGCTGCCACGGGGCGATGCGTTTGATAGTGACATCCCCCATGTCTTTAAAGAGTTGGAGCGCCGCGCTCCATTGTTCCCCCTTCTCACACGCACTGATCGACGAGTCAAAGCTGATGAAATCCCTTCCAACACCAGCTTGCTGCATGTCGCCTTTCCCAAAAAGGTGGAGGTTGCACAACACAAAGAGAGAGAGAGAGAGAGAAACACAATTATTTGCTGCCGTGTGTCCAAGAATCACACCCGTCAATTGCCAGCGCGCTGCCTTTTCACACGCGCTGATTGCAGCATTGCAACTGACATCAACCTTTTCAACTTGAAAGCTGCACATCGATCCCAAGACCTGTAGGGCCAGCTGCCATTGCCCAGCCTTTTCACCAGCACTGATGCAGGAATCCATTGTGATGGTGTTCGGTGTGCAAGCATCTGACAAAGAAGAATGGAAAATGGAACACGCCAATTCCCATTCACCGCCCTTCTCGCATGCAGAAATAGCTGCGCCATAAGTGACTACCGTTGGTAAAAACCTCATGTGCCGCGAAGACTCCAGCAAATGCAACGCCACGTCCCAGCGTCCAGCATTGGCACAAGCACTCATGGTGCTGTTGTAAATGACGATGTTCTGCCTCTGGGTGTGCAGCTTATGCATCCTTCCAATCTATCATGTAGTTCTGAATTTGCTCCCCCCGTCACACAACCCTCCAAGCACAGTCTTCTGTCGTCCTCCTCAAACCCTTCACCATTGCTCCAGCACCAACCAACTTAAGAAAAAGCAGTGGAAGAAAATCTGCCCTTGTGCTTGCGCACGTCAAAGCGGGCGGTTGTTTTAGCTAGGGTCTTGTGCTGATCGAATGGACGCATCTAACAAAAACAGCCGGACGCCGGACACCACAAAAAAGGCCATCCGAACAACCTCGCACAGCTGGAAGTAGCTGCGGGAAACTGTAGGCATCGTTTTTCCTGAACGCGTAGCATGTTTCATTTGGGGGTCCAGCGGGTAAGACTGTGTTCGCTCAACGTTGCGCAACGGTTGGGGGAGCTTTTGGGTGGTCTGTTGGAGGTGTTGGGTGTCGCTGTGACAGTGGGATTTGCGTTTCAGGCTAAAATTGTGATTTTGGTGGATGTGAGTGTGCTCAGAAATTATTCCAAACGTGTGGTGTGGTGCAATTTTGCTGAAGACATGAAGATGTCATGTCGTCACTCGCCGTGGCAAGCGCAGTACTTTGTGCGTGTCGGAGGTGTCGAAGTTGAATTTTAGTGGCAAGCATGGGAATTGTGAGGTTGCGACGGTTGGTGGAAGTGAACGTCGCCGTGCCATGGGATGTAGGTGTGTCAGCGGGTGTGGTTTTGAAGGGCTGGGATTGCGAAAACTGCTTGGCAGGGCTGCTTGGTATGTTCGCTCTGATGAGACCCCGCTACATTTTTGAAGAAAGTCTTGTACGCTCGTACGAAACGCCCCTTTTGCAGACTTGACGCTTGACTTTTGCAGGAGGTCTCGTGCTCCGTGCAAAACACTCACCTCGGAGACTTGACGTATGAGTTTTGGAGGCAGTCTTTTATGAAACGCTCGTTTTGGAGACTTGGCGCATGAGTTTTGGGGGGCACCTACAAGTGTCCCAGAAGAGTGTGGCCGTTTGTTTTCGAGTGCATGTGTGTGAATTTGGGCCCGTGGCATGGAAGCCAGAAAACATCCCACCAGCCCAGCGCCCTCGTCAGCAAGTGCCGCAATGCCGGGCTGCTCCAGCTCTTGGGGTTGGCGAGCGGAAGCCAAACAGAAAAGGATAGAAAAGGTTCACGTCAATGTTGAACAAACCTAAGTCATAGGCAGGGCACGGGTCGTGAAATTTCGCCGGCACAAAGGACAGCGCACTGCGTCATCTAAAGCCAGTTGGCTGCATGTTGATCTATGACTTGAGCCTCCATCATGGAGTTAGCATCTCATCTCAGGAGGATGGAAGGGTGTGATAGGATGACAAATGAAGAAGGATGAAGAAGGTACTGTTGTCTGTCCAGCAGTCATGCCATACAAGCCAATGCATTCCTCAATCAATGTCTGAAGCTGGACCTTTTCTGCCGAGTGAACCCCCCTGTCATGCGTCCAGAGCTTCTCGGATTGCTCATCGCGGCGTTACAAAGTACTGTATATACAGGTGGCATATGTTCAGTGAGTGGTGAGGAAATCGTGCTGACCCAAGTGGGCCCAGGTATTCACGACACGTTGCAACTCCCCTAGCTGCAGCAGGTCCAGGGAGCCTGGCATTCCACATCAAGGTGCCGCCGTGGATGCAGTGATGGCGCATTCAATCAAGGTGGGGCTTGTTGAACATGAACATGACCACGATGAGTCATCTCATGGCTCTCACAAAGGAACGCCTCACTAGACTCTAGACGGCATCATGCCTTCCCAATGCCGGAAGGAGCAGCCAGTCAGCTAGGCGCCGGGACCCCCCTCATGCAACTTCGCCCCGCCACCGGCTCTGCATTTCACAACGTGTGAGAACCACACCCAAAGACAGCAGGAGACAGCACAAAAGAGGGTGCCCAAGCAATTCAGCGCAACCAGAGACAGCGAGAAGCGGAAAATCCTACAACCAGCCAGGGCACCTTGGCGAAGGAGTAAGAACCCCCCTCACAGGTAAACCTGCTCCGTGAATATCAACCCCTCACTTATAAATCCGTTTGGGGAATTAGTGTTCCCAAGGATCATAATGCCAACAAGCATAAACCAACCTTGAATATCCTACACGCTGTAGGTGACTAATGATCATAATGCCAACAAACATAAGCCGACCGTGAATACTTGACATCCTGTAGGTAGCATCATGCTGTAGGTTCATGTTTGCATATATATATGTAGTCTTGTTACTTGTTATGGTGTGTTGTTTCAGGGTTTCCCATGCTTCCTCACAGTTGGAGGCGACTCTTCACAACGGCCTCAGCCGGGCTTTTGAGGACATCTCAAGGAGCTCCAAGGCTGGTATCCACTGGCTCGAGCCCTCGCAGGCGGAGATAGCCGTGCTAAAGCTGATGATGTCACAATCCGCCCGGTGCTTTGACATCCTTGTCCTTGGTGCTTAAGGTGTCATACCTGCCTGCCACCATCATCACCTCAAGGTTGAAAATCACTGATCACTCGTTGCCAGGCATCAGCAAGCCCAGGGCTGTTTGCCAGAGACTACTTGTAGAGCATGCGTTCATCACAGCGTTGTAGTGAAATGTGGAAGTTTCCGCAGCACCTTCAAAGCACCCCACCTCCCTCTCCTGCAAACCCAGCAGCACAAGAACTTCCTTGCCTTTTTGCATAGCTGCCAACACCTGCGCCGCCACCTGCAGTCTGCAAATCAAGCGATCATTGTGTTTCGGGCCGTGGTGCTTGGATGATCTAACACAATCATGTCCCGGCCTGACCCTTCCTTCGTGCAGCTAGCTCACTCAAGGCCTTTGTGGCCAACCGAGGCTGCACCCAAGCATGCCACGTAGCATTCACGGCCTCAGCCCACACTGCCCATGAGAAATGGCATGAGGAATGCTCAGTACCCTTTCTACCTGTGGAAGAGCACCTATTTCGAGTGAAAAGGCGGTTCTGACGCTATGTGCACCTGCACCACCCAGTTTGCCTCTTCAACTGCAACTGGCGTGATGTCCAGCAACTCCCGAAGAAGGCCTCGACAAGATCGGAGCATGGAAGATCCAGTTGCCCAGTGGGCCTATTGAACCACAGAGTGTGAGATGGATCTTGACATCAAGAATCAAGGCTCTGAGGTCACAAGCATAAGGGCAGACTGGGGGTTCTTGCCCAACTTTTGGACAAATCGCTCTATGTTCTATAGATGTATGCTCGAAATGGTCAAGACTCCAGCCTCTTGAAGATGTTTGGACCTCCATGATCAGACCTTGGCCCCAACAGCAAAGCACGGACCAAGGGTAGAGAGCAATGACAAAGAGCATGCGACTGTAGAAAAATCTAGAATACAGTAGTAGACCAAGCTATCTTGGTCTTCCAGCCTTTCGATGAGCTGAGCGGAGCATTTTAGCCGTCAGCAGTGAGATCTCAAGAAGCCGCTACTAAAAGTGAGTTCGTAGCTTCCATGTATTTCTTAGCGGCACCGAAGAGCCGTGCTCCCTGCTTCTGCTTATTGGCTTCAACAATGGCTTCGCGAGCTTCCACAATTCGCTTCGGCCCAGCTTCCAGCTTCTCACGCTCTTGTCGGTTCAAACCTGACGGAGGTGACTTGGCAAGAGCTTCAGCAGCTGTCCGAAGGACAGATGCGGAACAGGGTCCGTCGCTGGATTCGAAGCTGCCCATTTTGGGAGGGCCCCTCGTGTTGACTTCCCCAACCTGTGCGGGGGTCATGGCGAGGACATTTGAGGCCGAAGTGGACAGACCTCCCAAGATACGATTCACTTCTGCCTCGCACTCTTTCAGCTTGTTTGCTGCGCTTTTCGTGTCCGCGTTCGCTTGTGTAGGGACTGATGCAGCCATCATACCCAAGAACATAGCACGCCGCTGCGTCTCGACCCTGGAAGTTTCAACCATGGGAGGCACAAAAGCTCGTCCCAGGAGCAGGGCAATGCATAAAACCCAAACGCGGCCGCGGCTCTTCATGCTGACGGTTTAAGGCTTTCAATGTTGAACCAATGGCTGAGGCAGATGCAATCAAAGCAATTCAACACTCCCAAGTGAGTCAATTTACAGAGCTACCAACGCAACTTGGGCCTGAACTGTGTGACGCGTCGATTCAATTTTGTGTAGAGCCGAGATGCAGCTCCAACAAACGCATATGCAGGTATATCTCCATCAGACGCACACATGAGTCAATAGCGAACATATGCGAACAGCTGGGATCAAATGCAACATGCCATACTCACTAGCCGCTAGCCATCACTGACCTTCCACACAGTGGAAGGAGCAAAGCAAAATCGCGTCCTGACAACCGGTCGCCTTTTGTCAACAAACGCTGTTGGTGGCATTTGTGAAACAACCGTATGACATGCTCTGAGTGTTTGCAATGTCCTACGAAGTCTGACCAAAAACAGCAAAGAGCCAACACGTGCAGATCTTTTGTGATGCTTTGTTTCCGGTTTTGTGCAGAATCCTGCCAAATAAGCAATATGGCATCTGAATCTGGCTGGCCCGGCTTGTAGCGCGGTAGCACTGCAGAAGACGTTGGCTCTGTCCTTTGGCCACAGTGAGCTTGCGGCACAGCAACTTGAAAACGTGAAACGTGCGGCTTGCTGTGCCAAAATATTGGGCCAAGGCGGCCAAGCAGACTGGCACACTCAAGATACAGTAATTCTTTTTGATAAGGCGAGATGGAGATGGACCAGTGGATACTTGGGGCAGACCTGCACAACTCTCCGAAGTGAGAAGAGGAATATATACTGTAATGCTGTTGTCGTCGCTGTATGTCGCTGTTATGGTTGCAGTGGTTCACAATTGCTGCAAGACTCCAAGGACAAGCCACAGAGAGAGGGGCGAGACTCGTGCAAGCAGGTGTTTCGAGAAGGAAAATGGAGAGGGCAACGCAGGAGAGAAAACGGGCAAACGATTACAAAACACTGAGAGAACGTTGAAGAACAAGGTTGTCATTAAGAGTCTCCACACGCATTGCTACTAGGTTGGGGGCCATCGCTATTAGGTTGGAGGCCATCGCTATTGGGTTGGAGGCCATTGCGAATTGCTACTATATAGTGGATCGATGGATCTACATTCAGGACGCGCACAGCGCACAATAGCCTTACCAAATTCTCTGGTGAGCCAGCCACCAACTTTCGTATGACTGGATTAATTCCAGGCACTGCTCTCCATAGTTGATCCTGGGGCGTTTCACACTTTGAGCAAAACGCATGCGCCCCCAAAGATCACTAGCAAATTGCTGTGGGTTGCCACCTTACTTCAGCATCTGCAATTCGCCCATTGTCCTGATCACTATATATAGATGCACTTCTAGCTGTGAAATGTACTCGATGCAAAGTGCAGCTTAGGTGCCTGAAAGCAGGCAGGGCGACAGCTGTGCATGAAGCATCCCTTGTAGGATTTTTGATAGTTGCTTCATGACGTGTGCAAAATGTTGCAAACATGTTCATCTGGTGGTGCAGGAAGCTGGCCATCTATCTCAGACGAACTACATATGTTGCACAAGAGGGTTCGGAACGAACAAACAGGTCAACACAAAGCCTACACTGTTTCAACCTGCCTTGCCCTCAGCAGCAAGACATTTGGCAATTGTAAAGGATGGCAGCTTCAACATGACACCAGGCTTGACATCCTTCTGCAATGACCCCCGCTTTGCGGAAGGGTTCACGCAGTTCCTCACTTTGACCCGTCCTTGGCTTTGCTAACGTCAAGACACACAGCTGGCCAGTGGGGTAACACACTCCTGGGCTCCTGGGGGGAGTTGAATGCCTATATTGATATATATATATATATGGTGTTATTATCTCTCTCTCTCTATCTTTCTCCAAAAGTGCAACCAGGGTGCCCCAGATCCTCCTGAGCTAGCACCACTTTGCGAACTCTGAGGCATTCCAGAAGCACCGGAATAGCCTGAAACAGAGGGATTATATAGTTTCGTGCGTTCATAAGCCCAGTCCCTATTGTCCTATGGGCCAAGTGAGCCTAGATTTGGGACATATGCACTCGCCTGAATTACTCTCAATTGCCAACACCCTGTTATTCACACCTGTCCATGATGCCATAAAACAAAAAAAATAACATCCACTGCTAGTGCTGTGCACCTGTGGGCATCGATCCACCCTTCTTGTCGGTGATGGTCTTCATGGCTTTGACCACAAGCTTCTCCTCAGCTCTTTTTGTTGACAGGGATCACACGCAACCGTTTCAATTGCAGAAATCAGGGCTCCTATTGGCTTCGGTGGGTAGGGGTTGCCCTGTGCCCGAGGTGAAGCAAAGAGAATGCATGACTCCCCCGTTGCCCATTGCTCGCGGTGGCTGTCTGAAGGCACACCTCATGAAACAGCTGTCGCGACAAGGGGCCAGCTTTTCGAGCCGGTCGTCGCTCTGATCGTCTGCTAAAGGATCCTGCCAACTCAAGCACACTACTCAAAAGGTCGACGGAAAACACGAAGCACACTGGAAGCACTACCACAACAGAAGCTGGTGAAAATCCGCCCGCACCGAAGGTGCTGGCGCGTTGTGTCGGCTCGGGTAGACTGGAAGATCTTTGGCTTGGGGGAGGGCGGCCATTATTGGCTCTAGAACGTGTGTTTTTGATGTCCTTTTCCAATGGATACAAATTAGACAGACCGAGACAAACAGACTGAGACAGACAGACCGAGACAGACAAACGCACACTCTCCGTGCGGGTGGCTTCGAGCGCGAAGCGCTGTGAATATAACCTGGGCACATTCATGACCCACACATTCAAAACGCCACCACCAGAGGCGGCTAAGCAGTGATACAGCATCGCCGTTGTGAGCACAACATAGAAGACGGCCCTCTGTGTGGTCATGACATGGCACGCCGTGATTTGGTCCTGTGGCCAGGGCATGCCAGGAGCAGTTGAGCCACCAAAGCGCCTGACCGAATCCACCTCATGCATGCATGCCCATCGAGCTCATAAGAAGGAAGTCGTCAAGAAATTAACATGAATGCGCGGCAATTGTTTTTCCAACAACATGACGATGGTGCGGCCAAGCCACCGTGGTGGGATTGAGATTTGAAGGTTCATAGACTTGAATACCCCCTGTAGTGCACCAAACGCTGGGGGAGCGAGAGGTTCGGGACAAAGCTGACTTTCATTCACAGTACCTTCACATATAGAGGATCCAATATGGGAGGGGTTCTTGCTCACGATTCTCTAGATATCATCGGGGAGATATATAGACCCAACCGGAGAATTGCATAATCATAAACTCATGTAAACTCAGGCGTGCTTACCCAAAAACAAAAGTCTTGACCTCCAATTTGTGACCTTACACAAGCCAAATCATCTATATGTCCTGACGCTGTCAGAGGCCAGGAACGCCGAATGACTGTTGGTGCAAAGGGGTGTGCTGTGCTAGTGGTGTGTTGTCTGCTCTAGCACGTATGATGATCCGCGGTTTTCATTAAGCAAAACACAAGCAAATGCAAACCAAAAGAGACAATTTACATACAGTAGACACATAATATGTTTTATAGTGTTTTATTTATTTTCTGACCCCAACTTGAGCCGTCACAAAACGAACACAGTGTCAACATACGTCCACATCCGCCCACGTGTCGTGTTCTCACAAACACTTGGAAACCAACAAACTCCTTGTGTTGACTCACCTCGGAGAATAACATCAGACTTCTCCAAACCCTGAATTCTCTGTGAAGTAGGAGGTGCAACCAACAATTTAGCATGCATAGAGCGTAGTTCTATAAGAAGCCTTCACCCCCCGGATTTTCTAGTGGCGAAAAAATGGATCCTCCACGCCTTCACCCTCAACACGGGTGGTTTGCGCTGTGTTCGCTGAGCGAATGACAGAGGACAGCTTCGTAGCTTTATGATCTTACTGAATTGTGGAGTGGCTGGGTGGTCTGTTCTGAAGGAGTGCTTTCATCTTGGAATGCCTTAAGCCTTGAGCCGGGTTTTACCGGCTTGTTTCATGTGGTAGGGTCGGTGTCCAAATCTTGCACAAAGCTCCTAAGCTCCACCAAAAAGAACTGTCAGAGGTGCAAGCTGGACATGGCCTGCAACGCCAATGTCACCCTCATTGAACTCAAGCCGCTGGTCGAACTTCAAGCTCCTCAATGCACATGTCTGCAACACCCTTCTCAACAAGGGGAATGCAAACCACAATCAAAACAAAAAATACACGCTCTAGAAAGTGAAATCCGAGTGAGTTGAGACACTCTCAACAGTGAGACAGATTTGACCAGCCAAGTGTCTGGAGGAACCTTCTCCATCGCTTACGCGAGACTTGCTCAACGGTGGTGACAATGATGCTGGCTCGAGTGAGTCGTGCATAGCCTTGCATGTCTGCATGCGCCAGCTTGTAGGCCATATTCAACTGGGCCACCAGGAGGTTCAGGAGCACTACAAAGACCAAGATCACGAAAATGATTACGGCAATCCTGTCAGGGCACTGGCTTGCAATCTGGCAGAAATCAGATCTGAGATCAAAACATCTGGCCAAGGATCTCCACCCAAACGGATTCGTGGAGCATAGCCTTGTAGTTTTCCGTGTTGTACATACCTGACAGCAGCTCCAACACTGGCTGCAGACTCTAGCACTTGCTGCACACTAGCAGCTCGGCACGACTGTCTGAGGCAAGGTGCCTAAGGTGATTTCGAGCAAGGTCTCCATGCCCTTGTCCACACTGGCGAATTCATAGAGCGAGTGATGGAATGCCGTAATGGCGGTAGAGAAGGCCACAATCAGGAACAGGAACGCCATCAGAAAAAAGGAAGACCTTGCCAAGCAGCCCCGCAGGCAGGTTCCTTCTCAAACATTCTCAAGCACTTTGTGGTGGTGGTAGTGGCATTCAAATGATTGCGAATCCCGTGGCCACGCAGGTAACACATGCCATGACAAGAATTCCAATGATGTTCTTGCTCCAGGCTTTGCAGTCAAGAGGCCTCCACCAGTACCCGACCACAAACCAGTACAAACGCAGAGATCTGCATTGAGAAAATGCTGAAATTCACCAATAGAAGCCTCAAATCATAACCCCAACTTGTTCGCAAACATCTCTGGCGGAATGTCACCAAAATGCACCAAAACAATCCAGAATCACCCGCTTGGGTCACACACGCGCACACACGGAAGCGTGGAAGGCGTCTGAGCAACCAGTAGAGGAGCATGCCCAGGCCAGAGAAAACTGCATATGCCTCCTGCGTGTTTGAACGCGACTGCCTGTGTGTGTGATTGACATGTGTAAACTGAATTCGGAAAAGAAAAAGGAGGAAGAGAACAAACAAGGAATGCATAGTGGATGGAGAGTAGATGGCACAAAACATTGTTTATATGTCGAACCCCCATGTAAAGAACATCTTGAGGTCTGTGCCATCTACTCTGCAACCACCGCAAGGGACCCTTTCAATAAGGCCACGATGGGCACGAAAGAAAACAGAAATGACACATGGTTTCGCTCAAGAGATTCATACGTTTTGCTTTGGCTTGACACTCTCCTTTCGTCCCTCTTCCATACAAGTTGTCGCAAATAGGCCAAATTGCTCGGTGTAGGCCAAGCAATGAAGGATTGGCTCCTTGTGGAATGAAGAATTGCACTGATCCCGAGGAAAATGCACACGAGAGACCAAACTGATGCTCCTGAATCAACATCAAGACCAGAACCCACATGAGCAGCAAGTTCCCACTGTCTTGGATGTTGAAGAGGTACCTCAAATGCCAATCATGTTGGCAGAAGGTCGATGTCAGAGGGTCAACTGACGATACAAAACCATCTGAGACCGGGAACTGCAACGGGGTCGAACCCTGGATAAAAGTTTGAAAGAAGCGAGCAAGGACGCTACTAGGGGCTCCTGGCATCGCTACTAGGAGCAAGGACGCTAGCTACTAGGGGCTCCTGGCATCGCTACTAGGAGCAAGGACGGGGCTCCTGCCATCGCTACTAGGAGCAAGGACGCTACTAGGGGCTCAGGACGCTAATAGGGGCTCCTGGCACCGCTATTAGGAGCAAGGACGCTACTAGGGGCTTCTGGCATCGCTAGTAGGAGCAAGGACGCGGCTCCTGGCATGGCATCGCTACTAGGAGCAAGGACGCTACTCGGGGCTCCTGACATCGCTACTAGGAGCAAGGACGCTACTAGGGGCTCCTGACATCGCTACTAGGAGCAAGGACGCTACTAGGGGCTCCTGGCATCGCTACTAGGAGCAAGGACGCTAGGGGCTCCTGCCATCGCTACTAGGAGCAAGGACGCTGCTAGGGGCTCCTGGCATCGCTACTAGGAGCAAGGACGCTACTAGGGGCTCCTGGCATCACTACTAGGAGCAAGGACGCTACTAGGGGCTCCTGGCATCGCTACTAGGAGCAAGGACGCTACTAGGAGTAGGAGCAAGGACGCTACTAGGGGGCTCCCTGCATCGCTAGTACTAGCAAGGACGCTACTAGGGGCTCCTGGCCTTACTACTAGGAGCAAGATCGATAGAAGGAGCAAACTAGGAGCAAGGACGCTACTAGGGGCTCCTGGCATCGCTACTAGGAGTAAGGACGCTACTAGCGGCTCCTGGCATCGCTACTAGGAGCAAGGACGCTACTAGGGGCTCCT